AAACTACAGAACATTGCAGTATGCTAAGAATCTAGATCAGTACTGAATTGGAATTCTCACAGTACTATTTGGATTCTAGATCAGTTTAGCAGTGTTTGAGCATGTAACAGAGATAGTTTGGTGAACCAAGCTCCTGTGATGAGTAACCAAACCTGGGACATATAGATTCGTGTTAGCTCCAAACCTAGGCTTTAGCTCACCGGGTGAACACAGTCTTGTGGCGTGCAGATGACCCGGGTTTAAACCCAGTTGTTCAAAAGACTAAGGACTGTGTTTCTGTTAAATTAGCTGGGTTTAAAATCCTCACCATCCCCTGAACTGTTACTAGTCAGTAGCCCCCAGCAGGTGCTAAAATGGCTGCCACAGAATGATGTGATGTTATCTAAGAGCATTATCATGGTTATGTGTTGAAACCACAATGGCCATAGTCTCTCTATACAATATATAACTCATGAGTGGTGACTGAAGGGGCACTCTCTCGCTCTCTCCCTGTTCTTTCTTCCCACCTCTCTCTCTGACTCATAGACCGCTGTGAGAAACTCCATTCTCTCCATGAGATGGCCGTTAACTTCATTAAACCCTGGGTCGGGTGTGTGCGTCTTGTTTGTGTTATAGTCTCTATGTTAAAACAGGGTGAACTGTGTTTGTGTTTTTGATGGTGTATTTTAAAACAGTGTTAACGGTGTGTGTTGAATGTCAACAGCATATGTCAGTGATTTTTGAGGCTAATTACTTTTACACTTTAACAAGGATGGCATCAAGAGTGTGTGTTGTGTAACCCCGGAGGCACGTGAAGGGTGTGTGTGTGAGTGTGTGAGTGTGTTATCAGGGTGTGTGTCACCCTCATTAAGATCCAACAGAGGGCTGCTAGCCTCAAATCTCCTCACATTACATTACAGCCTGACACACACACACACACACACACACACACACACACACACACACACACAACACACACACACACTCTGCCTAGAAGATCTATAGCTGTCATAACGCATCACCTGGGTCACACCACATTCTGACGTGGCAACCGTCGCCGTCACTGAGTCGCCATAGCAACCTCACTGGGTGAAGAATCCTCAAACAGATAGAGAAAGAGAGAATGTGCTTTGCTTTGCAGGCATGCTGTCAGGGAGTGGAGAACAGTATGACACAGTATGAGGCTGCAAGCTGCTGAGAGAGCTGTTGTCACGGTGCGTTCAAGACAACTGGGATCTCTGAAAAAAACAAGCTCAGATTGGGAACAATCGTGACGTCAGTGATCTTCAGGTCTGAGAAGTCGGGGCTCTAGGATGATGCCAGAGTTTCTGACTTGTAATTCCGAGTTGGATGACCTTTCCAAAATATTTTTCCCATTCGGAGATCCTTAATATATAGATATTTTTTTAATGATATATTTTTTGTTGTTGTCTTGAACGCACCGAAGTCGGAAGTCAGAGATTTACTAGTTCCTAGTTGTCTTAAGCGCACAATCAGTCCACGTAACCGACCTAGTATCTAACCCTGTTATCTAAACCAGGGTTTCCTATACTTGGTCCTGGGCCCCCCCCCCAAGGGCCCCCCCCCCTCAAGCTTTGATTATTTGAATCAGCTGTGTAGTGCTAGGGCAAAAACCAAAACGTGCACCCATGAGGGCCCCAGGACCGAGTTTGGGAAACCCTGAACTATACAATGCAAGACCATGTTAGCCCACTAAGCAAAATCCTAGGTGTTCAATTTAGGAGCCAACAGGAGTCTTCGGGAGTCTTCAGGTCTCAGACCTGGTTATCGCTCCGTCATCTCTCACACACCGTGTGAGGAAATATCACACAAAAGGCAGATTCTTAATTGTTATTTTTATTAGGAAAATCATTTTGCAGATTCAATATGATAATTTCTTCATATACAGTAACAGTCAAAACTTTGGACACACCTACTCATTCAAGGGTTCTTTATTTTTACTATTTTCTACATTGTAGAATAATAGTGAAGACATCAAAACAATGAAATGTTAAACAAATCAAAATATATTTAGTAGCCACCCTTTGCCTTGATGACAGCTTTGAACACACTTGGCATTCTCTCAACCAGCTTCATGAGGTAGTCACCTGGAATGCATTTCAATTAACAGGTGTGCCTTGTTAAAAGTTAATTTGTTGAATTTCATTCCTTCTTAATGCGTTTGAGCCAATCAGTTTTGTTGCGACAAGGTATGGGTGGTATACAGAAGATAGCCCTATTTGGTAAAAGACCAAGTCTATATTATGGCAAGAACAGCTTAAATAAGCAAAGAGAAACGACAGTCCATCATTACTTTAAGACATGAAGGTCAGTCAATACGGAACATTTCAAGAACTTTGATGTCTTCACTATTATTATACAATGTAGAAAATAGTAAAAATAAAGAAAAACCCTTGAATGAGTAGGTGTGTCCAAACTTTTGACTGGTACTATATATGACATCTCATAGTTAGGATGCATTGCCACAGTACATTATAGTAGGAAGACTATTGCTAGAATAAATAGCTAGAATAATAATTATAATAAAAAATAAAATAATGTCTATACATGATCATTATGTTAAAAAAAGGTTCAAACTAAAAACATTTTTACAAAAACAATATGAGATTAAAAACAGTTACAATTTTCAAACCAAAGCCGTTATTAATGCAGAAGAATTATAATAACAAAATACAAATATGGTAATTTCACAGTTTGTGTCCTTATTGGTTCTCATGCTGGCTGGGAGAAACACTTATTGGGGCCATGCAGGGAAGGAAGGGCAAAGATGGAGGTTAGCAGAACTACACTACCCAGAAGTCATTGCACCCCTCAGAGGTCCAGTCCAGAAACAACTTCGAGGCACTTCCACGTTTTGTGTTTGGCAGAGCAGACAAGTGTAAACAATATGGCGGAAGTTCCCCAAAGCCTAATATTTAACCCTGTCCCCTATCCAGTCCCTTCAGATATTTGAACTGCTAGGGGCTAGGAGTTGTTACTGGGCTAGGCTGATAGTATGATCTGGGGTGATGCAAAAATTCCAAACTGCATCCCTGGTAAGCTTGAGTTTATAGAACATGTTTCTGATTAACTACACTTAATGAACTACTCTACCCATAGTCCTTTGTGCCGCTTCTCTTCCACAACATGACCAGTACCCTGTTTCCAGCTACATGACTTTCTGATAACACACATCAGTGAAAGACTTTGGGTGCTTTTTCAGGTAGAAACTACGTAGAACAGACACCACTATCTGGCTTGTATAATCTATTCTAGAATCATTTCAGCTCTGTTCTGTGTTTCAATCTTGGCCATACAGCAGCCTCTTTGTCCATTCCTTAGTCATTATAGGAATGCTCTCTGAACCCATTCCTAATTTGACATACAACAAAATCAGACTTTCACGTAAATCATGTTATTGATATATTTGTGAGAAAGGTCTAGATTTGTGACAGGATCCAGCCCTCTGTACTACACACCCGAAAAAGACACCCTCTCATTGGGTCATCTCTGGAGGACTCCACCCATTTGGGCTTTGGCCAGTCCCCCAAGGTGTTCAACCAATGACGAGAGAGAGATCTTCCTCAGGGCCCATCCCTTCTCTGATTATAATAACGTTCTGTGGAATCACAGTTGGCAGCTCTACAAAATGGCCGCCTTTTCACTCCTAAGAAGACTACACTACCCACAATCCTTTGATGAGGGCAAAGGCAGCCATGATGTCACAATTCCCTAACGTTCCTAAATCATCTATAGACTCTATATCCACCTCCAGCTATATAACTCTAATTGCTATTTACAGCTATCTACAGATGGAGTGAAGGGGAGTGGTAAAACTAACAGGAACCGTACAACAGACGGGTTACAGGGTGACACAGTAGTGCAGAAAAACAGACAATGTGGAAACCTCACGACACCCTATTCCCTATGTAGTGCACTACTTTTGACCAGAACCACATCGGATCAGGGGATAGGGTGCCACATGAGACGCAGATAATGAGGTTTCTGTGGCACCGAGGACTGCTCTCTGTCTGCTTGGTATGCATGTGTATTCATGTGTCGGTGTGTACTGTGTACAGTACGTGTGTGTGTGTGTGTGTGTGTGTTTGTGTGTGCATGAGCCTGAGCAGTCTGACTCATGCAGAATGTGTGGGTCATCTCCACAGGGAACCTCTGACAGACACTTCATAAAACTGCATTAACACACATACACACACACACACACACACACACACACACACACACACACACACAGTAGCAGCAACAACAGTGAATATTGGCCTTTGGCAGATGCAATGAGACAGGTTGTGGGAGGATGGGGTAGAGGTGTCCGTGCTGATTCAAACTAACACTGCTGAGTGCACTGTACACACACACACACACACGTCTCAAACGGCACCCTATATGGGCTCTGGTCAAAAAGTAGTGCACTATATAGGGAATAGGGTGCCATTTGGGACGCAAACTAACCTTCTGTCTGTTTCATTACAATACCGTGCTATACAACCAACCCACAGCCTTATGATGCCTTTTATAGACATTTAAATACCGTACACTGTTTACATTACAAGTCACCTGGAATAAGAGCTACTGGATAGCTCCTCCCCCCTTCCCCAACCTCTGTTCTAAATATAGATAACGGAACACGGTAAAACAAAATGTTGATAAAATGATTGTGCTTTTAACTCTCCTGTAAAGTAAGAAGTTGGATGACTTTGTCCATAAATGCTGATCTAAGGTCCGTTTTGCATTCACCCCCTAATGGTTAAAGTTATGATTTGGGGAGTAAGCTGATCCTAGGTCTGCGGTTAGGGGCAACTTCCACCTGGAGTATATATTCTGTACTATGACAAACAACCTTATTGCTTTACATAAACCAATAGAGGTGTCTGCGAAAATAATATAAAACATTTACATAATAATGTCGCTCCTTTTTCATTTATATACTATGTAGGAATACACTTGGTGAATGACCACTGGTCTCCAAAAAACGTGTGTGTGTTTGTGTGTGTGTGTGTGTGATATAAAGTGCAATGTGATGTTATTTGCATGGCGTTAAACTAATCGAGTGTCTTTCCACCGTCGAGTAGTCGTCACTCCATCCTCTCTGTGCTTCTCTGTGTATGAAGAGGATTCAGCTGCTTGGCATGGGAAACACAAGGCCAACAGAAAGGCTCCTCACATGAAACAAGGGCCAAAGCCAACCGACGCAAACATTCCCAACGACATCATCTACAGTATTCCCAGTCCAATTACGATTTTCACAGCCAATCTCCCAAATCCCACCTCGAACATATCTAATACCTCTTCACATGCACCAAGTCCACTCCAAATATTCCAAGTCCATCATCCATCCAACCAAAGTCCAACTACCAAGTGTCCCAGGCAGACTTCTTAACATTTCAGTCCAACTACCAAGTGTCCCAGGCAGACTTCTTAACATTTCAGTCCAACTACCAAGTGTCCCAGGCAGACTTCTTAACATTTCAGTCCAACTGCCACGTCTTTCTTTCCCAGGATCCCTTTCCTCGGATTCCAGGTCAGACGTGAACCACTGTCCTTCCCTTGTTTGACACGGAGCTAAAGTCTTAGAGGGATTGTTGATGTCAGACATTTCTCCAGTTCAAATAATGATTTAGAAGCCATTTTGAATGATGCGTTAAGAGGATTCTCCATTTTGCATGATGACAGTTAGAGACGGTTAGGGGGTATATTGTCTGTATCTTTCAGAGGGGATCGGGAGGGAGGCCGTGTATACATAGGATATGTACATTATGTTGTAGTGTCCCTAGTGTAACATCTAGTGACCTCGCCAAGAAGTTGGGACCTCACGGTGTAATGGCTGAGGTGTTGGACTGATGCTGACAGATGCAGGGTTGCGGGTTCGAGTCGTGTTCAGACTAGCCCCAAATCTTTTCACTACAGTGGGACTGTATGGCGGGTTAGGACCCTGGTCAGGCAGACAGGGGAAGAGAGAGGAGGATACTGAGGGAGAGGTATAGAACCCAACAGTGGTCCTGAGGTCTATTCCCGCTCTTCTCTTTCCCTCTCTTCTCTCCCTCTCCCATTCCCTCTCTTCTGTGTGTCTTCTATCCTCACGTCTTCCTTGTGACCTCCTTCCTTCCTTCCCTCCTCTCTCTTCCTCTACTCTCCATCCCTCTCTCCTCTCCTCCTCTCCTCCTCTCTACATGACGCTACATTTTCCCTTCAGTCTCTCGGCTCTGGACTGTTTTCCGGAGCGTTTCCCGTCGATGTTGAGACTCATGTTTCTCTTCTTGTCCAGGTTGAGTAGCTCCTGGAACAACTCGGTCACGTTGTGGTTGGTCTTAGCTGACGTCTCCATGAACGCACACTTCCACGTGGTCGCCTGGGAGACCACACAATAGGATTATTATTATTGTTATTAACAGGAGTTAGTAGAATGTCCTTATAATAGGGAATTCGCTTTACAGCAATCGGCCCAACATTACCAGACCTGGGTAAAATATACATATCAAATACCTTGAGGTGAGCTTTAGTTAACTTGGTGTTTGCACTTTTGACACTATTCCAAACTGAATCAATATTTTCAAGTATTTTACATTATGTAGGCCTATTGAACCCAGGTCAGAAAAATACAAAATTGTAACATTTCAGACCTGTGCTTCTCCATCTTTAGTCTCCACCTCTCTCTGGGTCTCATCACTCTTGTTGCCCACCAACATGATGGGGATGGCCTCTATGTTCCCCTTTATGGCTATCACCTGGACAACAGAAGAAGAGATTAGAACACACACACTCACACTCACTCACTCACTCACACACTCACACACACCTACCTGTTGGTAGATAGGTTTGAGTTCCTCCAGTGACTGTTTGCTGGTTACAGAGTAGACCAGTATGAAGGCATGTCCTTTAGATATGGACAGCCTCTGCATGGCAGGGAACTGGTGACTACCTGTTGTATCAGTTATCTGGAGCGTACACACACTCTTATCACAGCTGATCACCTGTAGACACACACAAACATACACACATAACTAGTATGATTAGGATATTACATGGTCATTCATTGACAAACATTGCTTTTACTCAATGCTCTTTTGATCACTAAGTTGTATCATTTGACTTGGTGTATCAGATCATTGGACACACTATGTATGGTAATTATGTCTATGCATCAGATAAAGCAGTTGGCCTACTGCCCATCCCTGATCACCTGTCAATGAATCTTCTCTCTCCCTCCCGTTTCTCTACCTCTCCCCCTTCATCTCTCTACCTCTCCCCCTTCATCTCTCTACCTCTCCCCCTTCATCTCTCTACCTCTCCCCCTCATCTCTCTACCTCTCGACCTCTACCTCTCCCCTTCATCTCTCTCACCTCTCCCCACTCATCTCTCTACTCCCCCTCATCTCTCTACCTCTCTACCTCCCCCCTCATTCTCCTACCCCTTCTCCCCCTCCCCCCTCATCTCTCTACCTCTCCCCCCTCATCCTACCTCTCCCCAACACTCTCTACCCCCCCCCCCCCTCATCTCTCTACCTCTCCCCCCTCAATCTCTACTCTCCCTCTTCCCCCTCATCTCTCTACTCTCTCTCCCCCCCATCTCTCTACCTCTCCCCCCTCATCTCTCTACCTCCCCCCTCATCTCTCTACCTCTCCCCCTCATCTCTCTACCTCTCTCCCCCCTCATCTCTCCCTCTCCCCCCTCATCTCTCTCCCCCCTCATCTCTGCCCTCCCCTATCTCTACCTTCCCCTTCCACCTCTCTACCCTCTCCCCCCTCATCTCTCTACCTCCCCCCCATCTCTCTACCTCTCCCCCCTCATCTCTCTCCCCCCCCCTCATCTCTCTACCCCTCATCTCTCTACCTCCCCCCCTCATCTCTCTACCTCTCCCCCCTCATCTCTCTACCTCTCCCCCCTCACCTCTCTGGTTTTGTCTGAAATGGAACCCTATTCCCTAAAGTGCACTATGTTCAGGCCTTGGTCAAAGTAGTGCACTAAACAGGGATTAGGGTGCCATTCCAGACGCAGCCTCTGTCTTCCTTCCTCTCCTCTCCTCTCCCACCCCAGCTCACCTGCCGATAGGTGTCCTCCACAGTGGGAATATAGGTGTCCCTGAAGGTGCCTTTAACGAAGCGTAGGACCAGGGAGCTCTTCCCCACTCCCCCCGCTCCAAACACCACCACCCTGTAGTCATTACTCTGCTCAGGCATGCTGCCCCCTACTGCCTGGACACTGTATTAAACCTAGAGAGAGAGCGAGAGAGAGAGAGCGTGAGAGAGAGATATTATTTTGTGGAGGTCTTAAAACATTACAGGTTAGAGGTAAAAGGTGAATAAAAGAGAAGAATAGGATCTAACACTGAGAATAGACAGTGATTCTGTGGACCCCAGGTAGAGACAGCCACATGTACTGACCCCAGGTAGAGACAGCCACATGTACTGACCCCAGGTAGACACAGCCACATGTACTGACCCCAGGTAGACACAGCCACATGTACTGACCCCAGGTAGAGACAGCCACATGTACTGACCCCAGGTAGAGACAGTCACATGTACTGACCCCAGGTAGAGACAGCCACATGTACTGACCCCAGGTAGAGACAGCCACATGTACTGACCCCAGGTAGAGACAGCCACATGTACTGACCCCAGGTAGAGACAGCCACATGTACTGACCCCAGGTAGAGACAGCCACATGTACTGACCCCAGGTAGAGACAGCCACATGTACTGACCCCAGGTAGAGACAGCCACATGTACTGACCCCAGTACTGACCCAGGTAGAGACAGCCACATGTACTGACCCCAGGTAGAGACAGCCACATGTACTGACCCCAGGTAGAGACAGCCACATGTACTGACCCCAGGTAGAGACAGCCACATGTACTGACCCCAGGTAGAGACAGCCACATGTACTGACCCCAGGTAGAGACAGCCACATGTACTGACCCCAGGTAGAGACAGCCACATGTACTGACCCCAGGTAGAGACAGCCACATGTACTGACCCCAGGTAGACACAGCCACATGTACTGACCCCAGGTAGAGACAGTCACATGTACTGACCCCAGGTAGAGACAGTCACATGTACTGACCCCAGGTAGACACAGCCACATGTACTGACCCCAGGTAGAGACAGCCACATGTACTGACCCCAGGTAGAGACAGCCACATGTACTGACCCCAGGTAGAGACAGCCACATGTACTGACCCCAGGTAGAGACAGCCACATGTACTGACCCCAGGTAGAGACAGCCACATGTACTGACCCCAGGTAGACACAGCCACATGTACTGACCCCAGGTAGAGACAGCCACATGTACTGACCCCAGGTAGAGACAGCCACATGTACTGACCCCAGGTAGACACAGCCACATGTACTGACCCCAGGTAGACACAGCCACATGTACTGACCCCAGGTAGAGACAGCCACATGTACTGACCCCAGGTAGACACAGCCACATGCACTGACTAAGAGGTTATCCCTGATGAAACAAAAGCTTTGAACTACAGTTAACTTACCACAACTCATCTTTCTGTATCTGAATCTAGTCCTCAAATACGATTCTGCTTTCTCTGCAGCGTGTGTGTGTGTGTGTGTATTATTGAACAGCTCTGGGGCTAAACACTGGTTATTAGGACCTCTAACACCAAATGACAACACTCAAATTATAAACCCACTTCAAACTAGAACAGAAACACTAGATGCAGACATACTAATATTCATGGAACAATGTGGGAACTTCAGTCTAAAGATCCACACACACCCTCTTCCGTCCTTGACACTAGGGCACAGAGATTGATGACACTCCTCCCAAATGGGACTGTCTCACTCTGACCATCTTTCTTTCCTGCCCTTCTCTGATGAATAGAGATGGAAGGATAGAGTGCTTTAATGAGTTAATGGTATAAATCCATCTGGACCAGCCCAGCCAACTCTACATTAGGAGATCACTTTGGCACAGACCAAGACTCCTCTCCTCTGCTTTTGTCCTTCTCTCTCTCTCTCTCTCCCTTCCTCATCTCTCCTCTCCTCTCCTCTTCTCCTGTGTGTGTGTGTGTGTGTGTGGCTGTGTGTGTATGTGTGTGTGTCTGTGTGTGTGTCAGTCTCACTGGTTAGCTGCCTGCCTGCCTGCCTGCCTGTCTGTCTGCCTGCCTGCCTGCCTGTCTGTCTGTCTGCCTGTCTGTCTGTCTGCTTGTCGCACGCACACACACCTGTCAGCTTTTTGTGTATGTGTTATTGTGTATGTGTTATTGTGTATGTGTTATTGTGTGTCGCCCTTATGAATGAATGCAGTTTCACACCCCCTTGGCTGACGTCTGCAGGCAGATCTTATCACAGCTAGAGGAGGTGTGTGTCTGCAGCCAGGGGAAATACATACTGATACTCTGTGTACACATGAGTTCAGGCATCTTCCATTCTCTCTCACTCACTCACTCACTCACTCACTCACTCACTCACTCACTCACTCACTCACTCACTCACTCACTCACTCACTCACTCACTCACTCACTCACTCAGATGTATAGATGTATAGAATGGAACCAAACTCTGACTGGGTTTCTCCTGTTCACCTCTCATCACACACTGCTTCAATGCTTCATCTGTTCTCTCTGTGGGTGTGCGAGCATGCATGCGTGTGTGCCTGTGCATGGGTGTGATGGAGAGTGATGCAAACAGAGGAAATAAGCATTAAAATCTCAGTGTCCCACATGTATATTTCACATTAGAAAGCTTTGTTTGTAGAACATTAAAACCACCTCTTCATCCCAGTTCTAGACAACAATCCCTTCATTCCATCACTCCAACAGATTGCCCCGACATTAAGATGGGCTTTGTGTGAGTGTGTGCGCGTGCGTGCGTGTGTGAGTGTGTGTGTGTGCGTGCGTGTGTTTGTATTTATTAAGTGTGTTTATGTGTGTGTGTGTTACAGATTGCACCACAGGGGTCTAGGCTTAGCAGCTAATCATTGAGCTTAACCTCTCTGTTCTTCTGGACTGTCTGCATTGACCCAATTCCCAGGTCTTAACTTAGTAGCACACCTCCTTCACACACACACACACAGTGGACATACAGACAGCAGGAGAGGAGAGGACAGACAGACATACAGCAGGAGAGGATAGACAGACAGAAGGAGAGGAACAGACAGACAGCAGGAGAAGAAACATACAGCAAGAGGCGAGGAACAACAGAGACAGCAGTAGCGGAAGCTGACAGACAGACAGCATTAGATGAAGCGGACAGACAGAAGGAGAGGAACAGACAGACAGCAGGAGAGGAGAGGACAGACAGACAGACAGCAGGAGAGGATAGACAGACAGAAGGAGAGGAACAGACAGACAGCAGGAGAAGAACAGACAGACAAGAGGAGAGGAACAGACAGACAGACAGCAGGAGAGGAGCGGACAGACAGACAACAGGAGAGCGCGGACAGACAGAAGGAGAGGAACAGACAGGCAGAGAGACAGACGACAGCAGAAGGGCGACAGACAACAGCAGGAGAGAGCAGACAGACAGACAACAGAGAGGACGACAGACAGACAGACAGAAGGAGAGGACAGACAGAGCAGGACAGACAGACAGCAGGGAGAGAACAGCACGACAGACAGCAGGAGAGGAGCAGGACGCAGAAAACAGATAACAGACGCAGGAGAGAGCAGGCACAGACAGACAGGACAGACAGACAGACAGGGACGAGGAGGACAGACCAGACAGGACAGAGGAGAGGAGCGTACAGACAGACAGCAGGAGAGGACAGACAGACAGCAGGAGAGGAGCGTACAGACAGACAGACAGCAGGAGAGGAGCTTAAGACAGGACAGAAGGGAGGACGGACAGTCAGCAGGAGAGGAGCGTCCAGGACAGGACAGACAGCAGGAGAGGAGCGTACAGACAGACAGCAGGAGAGGACAGACAGACAGCAGGAGAGGAAGCGTACAGACAGACAGCAGGAGAGGACAGACAGACAGCAGGAGAGGAGCGTACAGACAGACAGACAGCAGGAGAGGAGCGTACAGACAGACAGCAGGAGAGGACAGACAGACAGCAGGAGAGGAGCGTAGACAGACAGACAGCAGGAGAGGAGCGGACAGACAGACAGCAGGAGAGGAGCGTACAGACAGACAGCAGGAGAGGAACAGACAGACAGCAGGAGAGGAGCGTACAGACAGACAGACAGCAGGAGAGGAGCGTACAGACAGACAGCAGGAGAGGAGCGGACAGACAGACAGACAGCAGGAGAGGAGCGTACAGACAGACAGCAGGAGAGGAGCGGACAGACAGCACTTCAACCAGTGTGAGCCGAGGTGCAGCCAAAAATCAAATGAACATCAGAGGAAATAGGTGGCACTCATAAAAACGTGCTTATTATACTTTCAGGACACTCATGCGTCATTCTTAAAAAGGAATCAGAAACTTGCTGGTCACCATATCACCATGCTAGAACAGACAGTATATGGGTTTGTAACTATCTGGCTATGCTAGAAAGGTCAATACGATGCTTCCTAACCACCAACACAACTATTAACCATTACTAATCCTAACTCTGATGTGTCCTCTGATGCAACCATAACGTGGGCATGGAAGATGACACACACACACATTTCCTCCAACACCCACCTACACACCATGCCATGGTCCCGATTGCCTCCTCTTCTCACCTCCTCTCCTTTCCTGATCTTCCTCCCCTCTCCACTCCTCCCTCTCCTCCTCTCCCCTCTCCACCCCTCTCTCCTCTCCCTCCCTCTCCTCTCCCTCCTCCCCTCTCCTCTCCTCCGCCTCCCTCCCCTCCTCCTCTCCTCCTCTCCTCCCTCCCCCTCCTCCTCCCTCCCTCTCCTCTCCCTCCCCTCCTCCTCTCCTCTCCTCCCACTCTCCCCCCTCCCCTCCTCCTTCCCCCTCCTCCTCTCCTCCCTCGCCCCCTCTCCACTCCCTCCCTTCCCCTCTCCTCTCCCTCTCCTCTCCTCTCCTCCCCCTCCTCTCCTCTCTCCCTCCTCTCTCTCCCCTCTCCTCTCCTCCTCTCCTCCCTCCCCCTCTCCACTCCCTCTTCCTCCTCTCCCTCCCCTCTCCTCTCCTCTCCTCCCCCTCCTCTCCTCCGCCTCTCCTTCCCCTCTCCTCCTCTCCTCTCCTCCCCTCCCCTCTCCTCCTCCTCTCCTCCTCTCCTCTCCTCTCCTCTCCTCTCCTCTCCTCTCCCAATTCAATTTCAATTTAAGGGCTTTATTGGCATGGGAAACGTATGTTAACATTGCCAAAGCAAGTGAAGTAGATAGTAAACAAAAGTGAAATAAACAATAAATATTAAAACAGTAAATATTACACTCAGAAGTTCCAAAAGAATAAAGACATTTCCCCCTCCTCTCCTCTCCTATCCTCTCCTCCCCCTCCTCTCCCTCCTCCCCTCTTCTCCTCCCCTCCCCTCTCCTTCCCCTCTCCCTCCCCTCCTCTCCTCCCCCTTTCCTTTCCTCCCCTCCCCTCCCCTCCTCTCCCCTCCCCTCCTCTCCTCTCCCTCCCCTCCCTCCTACTATGAACCCACACAAACACAAGGATCGGGAACAAACACACACACCTACAGTTACAGGATAGTCATGGAAGAAAGCCTGCCATAAACAGCACATATAATGTTAATCAGGCATGCGTACAATGTCCAGATGGACCGCATGAAAATATGGAGGGATTAAAAATGGTTTAGCATAGGCCTACTGTTAGAGGCTATGCGTCACGTTGCCATCGTGTTGGTGGAATGTAGCCTAATGTGTGTGTGTGTGTGTGTGTATGTGTGTAATAATGCATGTCCATGGCGGGCTTGCAGCAGGGTATGCTATAGGCAAAGTAAGAGTTAAAAACGACCTCGTTTGTTGTCAGTGGGTCTAGAATACGACATCACAGGCTAGCCTACTCTGCCCCTTTCATTCATAAATACCACAGGAAGAAGGAACGCCATCTCGCTTTGGTGGCGGTGGCATCATTTCACAGGCGCATCACATCCTCCAAATCCTCCTTTCATCCTCAAAACGAGACATGTTAGATCCCTGCATAGAATATCATCCACTCTCCCATTCCTGGCGATAATTCACACGGTTTATGATGCATTAACAGCAACATACATGTCCAGATGAATTTTAACATATGGTAGAAATAACGGTTTGCAATCAAAAAACTCTTGCCCCATATTTACCATGGCAAGAATCGCGTGCGTAACCGTCTAAGTGAGGCAACGCCACACAATATCAACATTCTCTAACCGACATTGCCTAACGGATTTTTCTAAAGATGGATCTGGTTGTGGTTCCGTGTTACATACCTGAACTTGATGTGTAGTCCCGTTTTAGTGGCTGTCTTCGGACAAGACGTGTGTAAGGCAAAACGCTGAGTCTTAAAACATTTTATACTATTTATGTAGAGATCTCATGTCGTCCGCGAATTCACAGCCCGTGTTCTCTCACTCTCTCTCTCTCTCTAATTGTTGAAGCTATATTTATCTCTTTCTCTCTCTACTTGATATTCCCATACACTACAGGTCTAGTGCCACGACGTCTTCCTTCCCTCTATCAGTATGTCTCCATCTATACCAGTCTCCCTCGATCCCTCTATAGGCTTGCGGAGCATCGCGTCATCACACAACACACATAGAAACGCACAGATAGGTGCCCTATATTATTGCGGTTAAACAAAAATGGTTGCTTAGCCTACTGCATGATCAGTCCCAACCATGATGCTGAAACCACAGCCCATTCAACTGTGTTACCTGATAGTCCTGTGTCACCAACTGCTTGGGTAGAGAGACCAGTCATCCACAGCCATACACGGAGTTCAGTAAACTGTTTAAAATGTAGATCCTTGGGCGCCATCTTGGCATAAAAAGTTCCAAGAATCACATTCTGAGTGGACATTGGCATGGAGTGTGTGGTGGTTGCAGCTCCCCATGACCAGGTCACCAGGACAGGAACTAAAGCTTTGAACCCTTTACATTTTTACGTTTTATGTCTGTATCCTTGCTTTCCTAACTTTCTGCCTCTCTCACATCCCCCGCTTAGACGACCACCAGCCCACAAGCCTGTGAGGCCAACATCTACCTGGCCCAGGATCCAACCACCAGTCCACCCACCCGACCCCTCCAATCAAGCCACAATACTCCAGAATCCATCCATTCTCCTACCCTGCGATCACTCCACCATTCCTCCTGGCTGTCACTGGACTGTCACTCCTGCCCTACTGGACTGCCTAATGTTTTACTGCTCTGTGTCTTAACCCCATGTATTTCCCTTTAGCCTACTCGGTCTTGCACCTTCATGTTTTTGTGTCAATGTACAATCTGTATGTCTGCGGTTTCTCTATTTTTGATTTCTTTGCTGTTTGTTTTATTTCTATATTATCATTTGTTTGTAAAGCGTATTAAGACATGTTTAAATGCACTTTAAATAAATGGTGATTTGATCTGTATCTCTCCAGGACCAGGGCTGGAACTAAAGCCTGTACTGCATGTAAAGAGTATTTGTCTCCCTCTGTCAGTAGTTGAGAGTACTGCAATCCCTTCACACTGCAGTCCCGAAGAGAAACTGAAGACCACACACACATGTATGTATGCATGGACAGCAAAGGCAGTCTCCAGAGTAAGGGAACAGCTGGGGAGAAAAGCCTCAGGAAGGTAGGAAGGGAGAGAGAGAGAGAGAGACAGTAGGGGACGCGTTAGCAGAGCATTGCATGTCTATCTCCCCCACAGTCTGGCCACAATTCTTTGATCAAAGGGAGTGCATTTAGACTTTTGTCAGGTTCCCACATTACTAAGCACACAGCACACGCATACACACAAAAAACACACACATAGTCCCTGGGGCAATGTGTGGCCATTCTCCATCTCCATCCGTCGGTTTAGTCAGACATTACACTCCCCAGCATGGACACAAGAGGCTTCCCATTCAGACTTGTCTGAGCGTGAACGTTCACCAAAACACTCACTACATCCCGGATGATTACACTTCCTGGTACCAGTAAATGTACTGAGCACAGGTCAACAGGGCATAGCAACGTCTTAGTGCAGGGCTATTCCACTCCAGCCTTGATATATGCAGTACTGCTGCTTTTCCTTTCTCCGTGGTACTTAAATTGATTGATAATTGAATTGCCAGATTCCTCTGACACAGGGGGTATGCCATAAAGTAGGATCAATGAGTTAGCTATCTTTCCTAAATAGTTTGAAATAAATTCATATTTCTGAATTCCTAAAGAACTGAGAAAGGCATGGTGTTACAGACTCTAGTTGTGGAACAGTGTAAACAATGGAGTACAGACGGCACATTACTCAAGTTCCAGTTTGATTTATTCAATATAATAAGACGAGAATAGAGAGACCGTACTAAACAAAGACTTTACAGTTCAGTTTACATACATAATCATTTTTTCAGGACAGGTGATGGAGTTAAAATCTTTGGCACAGATCTGCAGACATTATGGGGACATGCTACTGTATGCACTAAATACAAGAGACTGAAATAACAACATGGCTACCTTGTAGGAAATGATGACCTGGCCCAGAGATATGGCCCTATACCAAACATACCCCTAGCCTCTACTCCCTAGAAACTTCCATCAGCCCCTGGTACCGTGTTTCCCAATCCATTCATATGGGGAAATGTTTGCTCTAGCCCATATCTAACCCACCTAAATCTTTGATTCATTGAATCTGGTGAATTAGTACAGAGGTAGGTCGAACAAGGAAGGGGCTAAGGGTGGATTTGTGATTGAGTAAGTCAACGTGTCTCAGTGGAGAGTCTGCTCATTTCAGAGCATATTTACATACCGTGAGCTCCAAATGTATTGGGACAGTGAAATTATAACTTATCACAAAGTCTGATTTATTGAATCTGGTGTGTTAGTGCTGGGGTAGTTCAAAGGGGAGTAGGCTAAGTGTGGATTTGTGAAGTCAACGTGGCTGATTCACAGACATGGATTTCCTGATAGTAGGCTACAGATAACATTGAGACATTCACATTGTTTAGAGGTCAGTTAGATTGTGTAGTGGCTACTCTAAGCTTCTGGTTGCATTCCAACCGGTCTTTAAAAACAGTCACGCTGCGCAGATTATCAGATGCTACAATGCCTGGATTATCGGAATTTTATCATATAACATTGACACATGCGACTGTTAAAAAGACAGACTAGAAAGCAGAAAATGCCTTAGAGTGACAAAATAAACAAGTGCTTATTCTGTGTGCAGCAGGGTGGTCACCAGCCACTGATCACATGACAGGGTCCATTACCCTTCATCACGGGACATCACACACTGTTTTGTTCTGTGTGTTTATCGGAGTCGAGACGTCTTTGAGGCTTGTGGTCATACATCGGTCAGTCACTGGTTCTTGTCATGGTTGAGAGCCAGGTTGACAGCTTTAGAGAAAAACATGAGTTAGTTTGACTGACACAGATCTGGTGACCATGTGTGTATAGCTAGATTTACATTGCGGAGATGCGGGATAACTAAGTATCATACCTTACATGTGAATTAGAGTTCGGAGCAGTCAGACTGCTTCAGATGCCTTTTCTGAAGGAGTCAGATTCTCCCAGAGAATATTGTTGCCTGATGTGCTATCACTTTACGTTTGCGTGCGCCATTGGGTGACCATTACTCGCACCAGTATTCATTTTACATTGGCCGTGTTGGGGAAAAACCGAAGACTGTTGTTTCCGCATCTCCACAATATAAATCTAGTTTATGGGTCTGTGTCTCACCTTCTTTAGTGACAGTATCAGCCATGTTCTTGGCCTCATCACTCAGGTTGTTGACGACACTGTCCAGGGTGGCCTGGTGTCTGAGGAACACGGGACGGACCACACGGGAGTAGAGAATAGCAGAACCGTTCCACGTCACCGGAGCCATACACCACAGCAGGAACAAACACTGAGGCAGAGGGGGATTGAGAGAGAGGGAGAGAGTGATTATATTATGTTTTGGCCTCCTGTATATTGAATGTTACACACACGTACCTTGCCAGCGTAGTAGAAGGGGAACCAGGAGAGGAAGATGTCAGAGAAAGCCTCGGTGACACTGAAGAATCCGTAGACCACCCAGTAGGTCAACCACTGAGTATCATCATCTTTCTTCTTACTCTCTATGGCCTTGATTCTGATTGGATGACAGGACAGGTGATGAATCAGGTTTAACCCTTCACCTGGAAGCATATGATGTGAGCATGACAACACCACTTTATAGATATGTTTTGAGGTGCTACTTACGAGAGGTACGCCGGGTAGACAAAACCAATCAGGTTACAGAGAAGAGAGGCTCCATAGCCAAACAACAGATACAGACTGATCAGAGAGACCACACCTGGAGACAGAGAGATTCTTACCAGATATCTGCAGACATGTCAAACCATCATGATACATCTTGTGTGTGTGTGTGTGTGTGTGTGTGTGTGTGTGTGTTAGAGCAGGATGTTGGATGAATAAACAGGACAGGGCGTCGCGTGAAACTCAATTCAAACGCTGACATTCACAAATTCAAAGTTGATGTACATAAGACATCTAGTATAACCATGTGGAATATGAACCATGGAACAGGAGTGGGAGAGATTCCACATAGATACTGGTCCGCTCTAACCTAAACCAACAAACTAGCAACTACATTTCCTCTGCAGCGCAAACCAGGTCCAGGGAGTTCAACCTACAGCCGTGAAAGTCCCTGTCTGTCAATTAACTCTTCACACACTTTAGTCAACACATGTACAATGGATTCCCATGGGAGAAAAAATATAGGCTCAATCTGTGAATTTTAGAGCTGGACAGAGAGAAGCAGCTGCTGCCTGCTACTGTAACCCTAGCTAGCAGGTAAACGGCTTCTGTTTGGTTTAGCTCCTGTTTGCATAGGGAAATCATTTACACCTATGGCACCAGGCTTTTCCTCTGCAGGTTGTCTCATCAGTGTCAGTTATAGTCCAATACATAATGCCATTTAGCAGACGCTTTTATCCAAAGCGACTTACAGTCACGTGTGCATACATTTTTACGTATGGGTGGTCGCGGGGATCAAACCCACTACCCTGGCGTTACAAGTGCCATGCTCTACCAATTGAGCTACAGAGGACCACATCAAATCAATCTAACCAAAAATCAATACACCGCATGATCTTCAAGACTGATGACTAGTTTCAGTTATGGGCAGAAGGCTATATATGGTCACAAAACTATGATTTGGTAAAGCAACACTGAGCAAATCTAAAGTATTCTCAAATGTGTCAATGGTGTTTTGTTAAATTCCTGATTTGGAGTGCATCCAGTGTTGGCACTCTCCCCACATACGGACCGGGACGCTACAGACTTAATCAAAAATCCATTCCCCCATAACAGGCAAAACAGAACAGAGACTGTTTAAATACTTCACTATAAGCGTCCTTCATTCCCCTGCTGCTTGTAGCCAAGTCGCAGAGTAAAGCCAAGTCGCAGAGTATAGCCAAGTCGCAGAGTATAGCCAAGTCGCAGAGTAAAGCCAAGTCGCAGAGTATAGCCAAGTCGCAGAGTATAGCCAAGTCGCAGAGTAAAGCCAAGTCGCAGAGTATAGCCAAGTCGCAGAGTAAAGCCAAGTCGCAGAGTATAGCCAAGTCGCAGAGTATAGCCAAGTCGCAGAGTATAGCCAAGTCGCAGAGTATAGCCAAGTCGCAGAGTATAGCCAAGTCGCAGAGTAAAGCCAAGTCACAGACCTGTCAGCCTTGGGAATTTCCCTGAGCCCTAGTTTGGACATGACAACAGTCCTAGGCAGCATTAATGTGGTGACTACCCAACGCCTTCCCCCTCCTCCACCCAACAGTTTACACTGCCCAGTGGACAACATGTCTGAACGCTTGGTGATGTGATCAGAGTCCCTCCACAGGCAGCGTAGCGCAGACAGAGTCACTCTCTGACATTGATGGAAGACTAACGGGCTGGCGTTCCTTCTCCAGAAGAAGAGCTAAACTACACAGTATAGCCTACAGGCTCCTCTGAACACACATTGGCCGTAGAGAATTTCACACCAGACGTTCAATTACTTAACTTCATACTTGACCAGACCAAGGCGCACACACACCCCTAGGGTATAGACTAATCTTTACTGCATATTAGGTCCAGTTAATCCAGTAGTAAACAGAAAGTCCATCTCAGACCAACGTAACATTCGGTTTTTGCTCTCAGGTAATTTCCATCAACATCAGTACTGGCAGACTGTGTACGTGTGTCAATAGCACCTTAAAAAGGCCAACATTACAACAGCAACAGAACTAGACTGGTCCCAGATCTGTTTGTGCTCGTCAACTCCATTGTTGTCAATGTCAACAATGAGTGAATGAGTAGGCATGATGGCACAAACAGACCGGCACAACAGCAGAACTTCAGAAGGAGCACAACTCAACTATAGACAGCAGGTCACCCTAGAATCTGCCATCTCAGCATAGCAGTTCGTATTTCTGTAGGAGGTATAAATACACCCCTTGGCTAGGGACCAGCTGCTAGCTAGACATTAGAAGCAGCTAAATCGAAATCTAATAGTGGCTTAACTGAAATCTGTTGGGCCTATCCGACCTTTGCTATTTCAAATGAGTGTCGTAAAATCATCTTGTAAGCAGCCTAGGCCTATATGGTCATTAACAGTCACGTTACAACAATAACATTTGGTCTGGTGACACCGTTTGTTTTCTGTGGTTTGTTTGTGTTAGGCCTAACTGGGCTAGTCTGCGTTACAGTTTATCAGTTACAACTGTTGCTGGTAGGCTAGTTAGGTAATGTGACATGTCAGCCAAAGAACTGTCATATGTGCTGACCTCGTCAAACTAGCCAACGTTGTATAACGAGAAAGTATCCACTAGCGGGTAAAGTTACAATGTTTCAACATTGACAGAGTGCAACATTATAACCAAGCAAATGGCAAAGTTCTACAGTGCAAATGGATTTATTATTAATTATTACCTGAAGCGATATATTTTCTCTGTACCCCAGTTTTCTCCTCCATCGTAGCTAGGAGATCTGTCACAAAGTTATTTTCATTCAAAAAAGCCTCATAGCGGTTATGAAGTTGGGCAAACATTTTTGTAGTGGCGCGGTGTTGAACTTGTTGATTTTCGAATGCTTAGCCTACACAAACACAAATCAAACCAAAATGTTACGGTCAATTAACAAGCGAAAAACGTTAAAATATTTCATATGGTTAAAGTTTTACACCGAATTAATCGTGCGTACAAGCTGTCGGGCATATGGTTCCATGCGAAGCGAGAGGGAGGAGTTTAATTAAGGTACAACCAATCAGAAAACTATTTTGTTGCCACCTAGTTGAAGCAACAGGTGATGAAGTTCAATGTTTATTGCTGGCAGTAAAGTTCAGTTAACCATTATGCTACTAATATCTGGGGAGTGGGTACGTTTATACTTTTCTGTCATTGCTAGGGCCATGTGTTTTGAACTATCATGTCACATGACCTAGATTTTAACCTTTATTTTAAGCCTTTTCTAGAAATGAGAATTAGACCAAAAATGAAATCAACTGTCTGAGGATGGTGCCAGACCATCTGGCATTAAAACAGAAGGGACAGTTTGATGAAAAAGCTTTAAACACAGGTTAAAATCCAGGTCATGTGACATGATTGTCCATAACACAGGGCCCTAGTCCTTGCACATCTATCTAGTTATTTACGTCAAAAAGCAATACAAGAGCTTGCAGGCCCAGTCTGGAATCAGTGGAGGCTGCTGAGGGGAGGACGGCTCATAGTAAGGGCTGGAATGGCATCATAGTAAGGGCTGGAATGGCATAAATGGAATGGCATCAAACACATCAAATGTGGTTTCTATGTGTTTGTTACCATTCCATTGACTCCATTCCAGCCATTATTATGAGCTGTTATCCCCTCAGCAGCCTCCACTGTCTGTAATTCTACCAACAGTTGACGCTGAGCCTGCCACTGTTTGACAAATAACTTTATTCTCTGTCTGAATTGAACTTCAGCGTGACGCCATTTTAGCACAAGAGGGCGCCATCAACCTGTAAATATCAGCGTCATCCCTATACAGTAATGAGTAAGGCTCCAGTTAGGCTAGGCATCACCTTTAGGCCTATCCATTTGTGCAGTCTTTTGGATCCTGGCTATTAACATTTGACGAATGGTATACCAGCGGGAGGTTCATCCTGAAAACAGATACAATTTGGGCTCAGCTTGACATAACACCCTTTGTATGTAATAGAATGTCTGACACATTTTTTTTATTTGGTGGTGAAACCTACCCTTTAATACATTATTTAGTTATCATCCTATAGTTGACCCCTAGAATGGAATAACTCATAGCTAACAGCAAAATAACAGATATAAAAGTTATAAGTATCTCTCTCTTTCTCGATCTGTTTCTCTGTCTCCTCTCTCTCTCTTTCACACCCAGCAGGTGTGTGTTTGCCTATAGAGTGGTGTTTTGCATAGTTGTTGAACCTCACTGCTCCTGACACTAAGACTGCAGCGTTATCATCGTTGGGTTCAGTCTGTTCAATCTTCTTAGAGCCACAGATGATGCTGATGCAGATTACGAAGATAATATCACTGATTCCACTGCTGATTATGCTGGGGTTCCTCCAGACTCAGGGTGAGAAACTCTCAGCATCTCTCATTGTGGTCTACTGGTTTTTAAAGGTTTTAATGGGCTTCTACATGTTTGCACATGGAACACGATTCCAATGCCTTTATTTAGATTATTGTGACTAATCAAAGATAATTATCCTCCATTTCAGAGTCATCTGCACAACGTGTCCTGAATGAAGAGAATTAATCAACGTCTGTTCGTCTGGGAGAGAGTGTGTCTATCAGTGCTGTTGCAAGTTCATCTGGTGTTGATGATGACATGAGCTGGTATCTGCAGAAACCTGGACAGGCTCCTAAACTCCTCATCTATAGAGTAAATACACTTCAGTCTGGAACACCGTCTAGATTCAGTGGCAGTAGATCAGGTACTGAGTACACTCTTACAATCACTGGTGTCCAAGCTGAAGATGCAGGAGATTACTATGGTATGGGTGATTATGGAGGCACAGAGCTCTTCACACAGTGATTTAGAGTCATACAAAAACCTCCCTCAGTCAGACTGCACAGAGACTTTCCTGCTGCAGCTAGCACTTACTGCAGGTGCTGAGGGGCAACAGTCTATGACATGGAAAGCTGGTCCACTGAACACAGAATTGAGATCCTCACACAGCGTTAGACAGTCCCACACCAGGACAACATTACTCTGGTTACATCATGACAGGAGCATAGTTCACCCAAACCACCTCCTCTACACAACCATAACCATTACTTCACCTCCATATAGAAACCACCACTTTACTACCACACCATTGACCTTCCCCTCTGTCTGCTGTTTCTCTGTTTTTGATGTGATTTGATCTGTAGCTAGCTCTGCAGGACCAGGGCTGGAACTAAAGCCTGTACTGCCTGTAAAGAGTGTTGAACTCCCTGTCAGTAGGTTAGAGTACTGCAATGCCTACACACTGAAGGCCCTCAAGGAAACTCAAGACCACACACACACACACACACGTGTGTATAATGGCTGGGGACAGTAAGGGAACAGCTGGGGAGAAAAGCCCCAGGGAGGGAGGGAGAAACAGGGATAAGCTAGGCATGCAAGGCTCTGCTATCCACCCCAACCTACACAGTCTGGCCTGGTTTGAGCAAAGGGAGTGCATTTATAGACTTTTGTCAGGTTCCCACATTACTACACAAAACACACACACACACACACCACACACAGTCCCTGTGGCAGTGAGTATGTGTGGCCATTCTCAATCTCTGTCCGTCAGTTTTTCCAGACATTACACTCCCAGCATGGACACAAGGGCCTTCCCATTCAGACTTGTCTGGGCGTGAACGTTCACCAAAACACTCACTACATCCCGGATGATTACACTTCCTGTATACCAGTAAATGTACTGAGCACAGGTCAACAGGGCATAGCAACGTCTTAGTGCAGGGCTATTCCACTCCAGCCTTGATATATGCAGTACTGCTGCTTTTCCTTTCTCCCTGGTAGTTAAATTTATTGATAATTGAATTGCCAGATTCCTCTGAAAGGGGGTATTCCATAAAGTAGGATCAATGAGTTAGTTACCTTTCCTAAATAGTCTGAAATAAATTAATTTCTTAAAGAACTGAAAAAGGCATGGTATAACTGACTCCAGTTGTGGAAAAGTGTGAACAATTGAGTACAGACTGCACATTACCTCTTCTATTTACCCAAGTTCCTGTTTGATTTGTTAAAGATAATAAGATGAGAATAGAGAGACCGTACTAAACAAACAAATAAACAAACAAAGACTTTCCAGTTCAGTTTACATACACAAATAATAATTTTTTCAGGATGGGTGATCAAGTTCAATTTTTTGGCACAGATCTGCAGACATTATGGGGACATGCTACTGTATGCACTAATTACAAGAAACTAAAAAAAAAACATGGCTACCTTGTAAGAAATGATGACCTGGCTCAGAGATATGGCCCTATACCAAACATACCCCTAGCCTCTACTCCCTAGACACTTCCATCAGCCCCTGGTACCGTGTTTCCCAATCCATTCATATGGGAACATTGTTGTTCTAGCCCAGCTCTAACCCACCTAAATCTTTGATTAATTGAATCTGGTGAATTAGTACAAAGGTAGGTCGAACAAGGAAGGGGCTAAGGGTGGATTTGTGATTGAGTAAGTCTCAGTGGAGAGTCCGCTCATTTCAGAGCATGTTTACATACCTTGAGCTCCAAATGTATTGGGACAGTGAAATTATACAATGACTATGAGGTTAAAGTGCAGACATTCAGCTTTAATTTGAGGCTATTCTCATCCATATCGGGTGAACTGTTTAGAAATTACAGCACTTTTTGTACATATATTATTTTGTGCCAAATAGAAATGAATGGTAAATAATGTCATTTGTGCAGATCTAGCTCTGACTTTGCTGATAGCTACTTTATTGAGGAAATGTGTACTTACTACACCTGTCCCACCTAGCTATCTTAAGATGAATGCACTAACTAAGTCGCTCTGGATAAGAGCGTCTGCTAAATGTAAAAATGTATATGTACAATAAAAAAGTGACTCCAAAATGACACAATACATTATTTAACATTCATTTCTATTATAATGAGAAACACAACCTAAACAAAAAGTGTAATTCCATTAATGTTACCATGGAAATGCCCAACTACAATCAACCTCACTCACATGATGACAAAACCATGCCAAGTAGCTTGCTAGCTAACTTCCACTACTAGTTCTTATCATTACATGGTCGTATCATTCACTGGCTCGCTAAGCTAGCTACAAACTTTGGCATTTGTTTACAGCCATTAGCTAACATTAGCTAGCTGGTGATCATTGTTCTTCCCGGGCAAAAGTGCCATCCAACTTAGTTTGGCTGACGCTTGATGCAATCATTACGTGCTAGGGATATTGGACCAAATACTACACATAAGTGAATTTGTCCCAATACTTTTGGTCCCCTAAAATGGGGGGACTATGTACAACAAGTGCTGTAATTTGTAAACGGTTCACCCGATTTGGATGAAAATACCATCACATTAAAGCTGACAGTCTGCACTTCATAATTGTATAATTTAAAATCCAAAGTGCTGGAGTACAGAGCCAAAACAGAATACTTTTGGAGCTCACTGTATATCTACAGACATGGATTTCCTGACAGTAGGCTTCAGATTACATTGGCACATTCATATTGTTTAGAGGTCAGTTAGATTGTGCAGTGGCTGCTCTTAGCTTCTGGTTGCATTGCAACCCGTCTTTAAAACAGTCACACTGCGCAGATTATCAGATGTTACAATGCCTGGATGAGTGTTTAACGTCTAAGGAACCACATTAATAGGATATCGGAATCTTAACATATAAGATTGATACATGCGACTGTTAAAAATACAGGACTATAAAGCAGAAAATGCCTTAGAGTGACAAAATAAACAAGTGCTTATTCTGTGTGCTGCAGGGTGGTCAACAGCCACTGATCACGTGACAGGGTCCATTATCATCCTTCATCACGGGACATCACACACTCTGTTGTGTTGTTCTGTGTGTTTATTGGATTCGAGGAGTCTTTGAG